GGCCGGGGGGGGGGGGGAGCGAAGGGGTGGTAGCCCCCCCCCCCCCCGGGGACGGGGGACAAGGGGGTGGCCCCGGGGAACTTCCCCCAGCCCCGCTCGTGCTACCTCCAGGCTGCGGTAGTAACGCTCGGGGATCTCGTCAAAGGCGATGTCCAGGAAGGAGACCTCGTGGTCGCCCAGGATTTTATCGCTGTGGAAGATCTGGGGAGGGGAAGGGAGAGTGAGAGGTGCTGGCCACGCATGTGTGTGTGTCCCCCGTGATGAGTTTGCCAGGTCTCAGCTGCGGCGCAGACTCACGTTCTCGCTGTCCCCGCAGTTGTCCTCGTACTTGGTCTCGATGTAGATGGAGAACTTGGGCAGGAAGGAGCACTGCAGGGAGCGGCCGTCAGCCGGCCCCGAGGGATGCCCGTCCCGAGGGACGCCCACTCCCAGAGATGCCCACCCCCAAGGCATGCCCACCCCGAGGGATGCCCACCCCAAGGGACGCCCACCCCGAGGGACGCCCACCCCGAGGGACACTCCCCCCCAAGGATGCCCAGCCCCAAAGGATGCCCACTCCGAGGGACACCCAGCCCCAAAGGACACCCAGCCCCAAGGACACCCAGCCCCAGGGGATGCCCACCCCAGTGCCCCCTCCCCAGCCATGCCAGGTCCCCCCATGCCACCTCCTCACCGTGTACTCTGCAGGGACACCGTGGCACGTCAGCATCCCGGGGCGGCATCACGGGGTGGCATCACGGGGTGGCATCACGGCGGAGAGAGGGAGCGGTGAGCCCAGGAAGCGGCCACGGCCAGGCTGGCAGCCCACTGCCACCGCCACCACCGGAGAGGGGCAGGGTGCCCGGCGGTGCCGGCGTGCCCGTCCCCACGCCCTGCCCAGGGCTCACCGGTGATGGTGTAGGGGTAGTAGTTCCAGGCCTTCTCCGTGATGTAGAAGATGCGGGGGGTCACTGCCCGCGCCCAGCTCGGCAGTTTGCTGCAGGGGACCGCGGCGGGCGGGGGGCTCTGCTCAGGGCAGGATACGGCCGCCGGGCCGGCGTGCCCGTCCCCACGCCCTGCCCAGGGCTCACCGGTGATGGTGTAGGGGTAGTAGTTCCAGGCCTTCTCCGTGATGTAGAAGATGCGGGGGGTCACTGCCCGCGCCCAGCTCGGCAGTTTGCTGCAGGGGACCGCGGCGGGCGGGGGGCTCTGCTCAGGGCAGGATACGGCCGCCGGGCACA